TGAATGACTGTTTGCAGCTGTGATTGGATTCAGTGTTTACTTTGCTTTCATTGCAGTCATTGTCCACAATATAGACGCACTTCAAGCACTTCCAGTCACTTCCAACCCATTAGCCATAACTACCACTCATTACCACCATTTGGTCCATCACTACGAGAGCTGATAATCGATGGCTAATCCCAACAAATCCTTCAAACAAAGACGTTCTTTCGGTAATGACTTGTAAACAATGAGTCAATGAATATGTCGTCGAAATTGCGTTCATTTCTATACCATTGATATGTTATTGTCTTTTCAATTGTCTTTCCCTCTGAAGCTCAACGCAAACAAGACGTGGAAGAGATCCGAAACCTTCACCCGAATAAGGTATACATCGACACCACATATACCATGTATAGTGTCTAATAGGTGTTGTTGTTGTCAACAGATCCCAGTAGTGATCGAGCGCTTTCATGGCGAGAAACAGTTACCACTTTTGGACAGAACTAAGTTCTTAGTTCCGGATCACGTGTCCATTGGAGAGCTCATCAAAATTATCAGGTATTCCCACCTATTGTTGTCATCCCTGCGAACCAGACATCCATTTAATGCTTTCATGTGTTGTCATTCAGACGTCGCCTTCAATTACATCCAAATCAGGCTTTCTTTCTGCTAATAAACCAGAGATCGATAGCAGCCGTCTCTACCACTATGGGAGAGATCTATGAGAGGGAAAGGGTATGTATTGATATATTGGTCACTCTTATGGATAGCGTTAACTCATTGTTGTGGTCATTAGGATGAGGACGGCTTCCTGTATGTGGTGTACGCCTCTCAGGAGGTGTTTGGTTGACACAAGTGTTTCACTCATACGGATTTATGCGCTAAAATTTGTGGTCATATATACAGTAAAATTCAATTCAGTTATTTCTTCAGCTAATACTGTATATAAAGTTGTATTTGTATTATAAAAAACACAATTCAATTCATTGCAGATTTCTCTCCAATACTTATCTATATTATAGATTCTATAATATGAAAAATTTATTGAATTTTTTCTTTTATTATTATATCGTAAAATCAAAATAAGGATTTAATCACAAAAAAATTTAAGATAAAGTCAGTCCTTTATTGTTGGGTAAAGAAATGCTTACATATTTAAAAATATAACCATTTGTTAACAATTTGTCATAAAATGTCATAAGAATTGTATGTTTTTCTCCGTTTTTGTAATAGATTATAGACTTTAATCGATTGATTCGACTCTGGAATCCAATTATATGTAGATTTCATTGTTATTCAAAGAATTATAAATAAATGTAAAATAATTTAATTCCAATATAATGTCTAAAATTTATTTGTTTAAAACATTAATTTAATTCAAATGACATTATTATCAAATAATTATGAAATAATAAAGTAAAAGAGTTTAGCCTTCAACCGGTAATTGAATTTAAATAACCTTAAAAACAAATGTATATAATTATAATAAAACTAGTGTTAATTAGTGTCAAACGGAATCAAAGCCATAACCTTTCAATGCCATCAAATTGGTTGCACTCAACGCCTTGTGGTTTGCGATCATTTGCGATACTTTGTGGTAATTCTTGAGACATTCGTTGACAGATTGTGAGTGATTGTCATAACCCAACGGAACTATTATTTCATATTTTTCGATATTCTTTTCGGCCTTTTTATGATATTTTTTGGGCGGACTGTTCGCTAATTTGGCTCTTCTCTCACATTGCTGTGGCTGTGGTTGAGTACAATTGGTTTCTAATTGTATTTCACTGTTTGCCACACCATTACTGTCATCGCATTTATTAGTGTTTAATTTCTTTGATTTCTTACGTTTCTTAGACTCGCTATTATTCAATATATTTGATTCGTTCGCATCATTCACTTCAATGTCTGCATTGATATTATGTCCTAAACTCTGTTCGAGTA